GAAGCTCAACCAAGAGGTTGTCATTCAAGACGAGGTTGCCTACACCAAGTCGCAGTTCAAAATTCACCGAAAGGAAGAGGATCCAGACGATGACTTGGAGTCCGTCGATCTGGAGGACGAGTTCGACGAGCTGTTCCAGGCGCAGGAGAAGGACGGGAACTACCACATGTATGGCAAGTCGATGAACAGTGTGGTGTGGTTGTTGGACAAGCCCAGCAAGCGGATCTTGAGTGGCAAACAGAGTCTTGAAGGAACGAGGAAAGGTGACGGGCCATCCACCGCCGCGTCGTCATGCGGAACGGCGCATGGGAGCGCCCGAGGCTTATTGGCAGTGCCGACTACGGTGGCGGAGACATCCGGCGGCGAGACCCTCGAGAAGCGCAAGAAGATTACTGGCAAGACGCCCCCGCGTCCGAATGGCTCACCTGATGGAGACAAGGACGCTGGATTGACAGATGGTGTGAAGTTCCTGCAGGCGCGCAGCGAGCTCATCAGCAACGTCCGCAAGCTGGGCGAGGAGCTGACGGGCAAGAGGGGCATGAAGGTTACGCTGAAGGCCCTCTCAGACGACCTGAACAAGAAAGGCACCGACCTGAACTTGCTCCCGTATGCTCCAGACAAGATCATGCAAGAGATTGATGAAGTGAATGGTCATGTGCAGGCGCTGCTGAAGAAGGTCTCGAACATCCAGAAGCACGAGGTGGCGGAGTCGGAGAAGTCGCTGAGCGACCTGACAAGTTCGATCAGCATCATCAAAGACAAGCACGTTGACCTCAAGAGTGCAGGCGACCACCTCATTGCCGAAGCTCGCAACAATGAGCGCTCGAACCGCCAGAAGGACTACTGGGTTCAAACGAAGGTGAATGCGGCGCTGACCAAGAACGGCTTCGGCAAGCAGCACGCCAAGCGGCTCAGCAAGATCATCTTCAACTTCGAGACGGCGGATCTGACGAAAATCCACGTGCATCCAACTACATCCGAGGACACGGCCCACGGCATCAAGATCAACCGCGATGAGGACACACTGGACTTCAACCACGTTTCGGTATGGGCTGCTGGCAATGCCTGGGCCAACAATTTCAAGAAGATCTTGAACGAGGACGCGCGAGTGCAGGCCAAGGTCACCACCATGAAGGCTGCCCTGTCTAAGAATACCACGTGGGCGGGCGGCATGTGTGTGGTGGAGGGCGCCCACTGTACCGCCACCAACGCCGACCTCGGCCCCGACATCTTGGACGGCGACGGGAGCGAGCCGTGGATGTTTGCTTGCCGTGCGCACTGCTGCAGGTACGGGCCGAACGCCTACCCTCTCCCAGGTGCCGCATCGTTGCTGGTGGTGCTGGAGGGCCCAATCTACGTTCAACTGACGGCGATCTCCAATATCACAGAGCAAGGGTTCACGATGACCGATTACCCGTCCTTTCTGGAGACGCCTGCTGGTCAGAAGTACCAGGACTCATCCATCGTGACGGTGCGCTTGATGGACAATGCTGCCATCTTCATCCCACACGGGCTCGCCGTGCACATGGTGCGCATCCCGACGGCTGCGGCAGATGACGACGAGACCAACCCACCGCCGAAGAAGAAAGGCAAGTCGGCAGCACCGAAGACGACTGATCAATCGAGGGTCGCATTCGTGCTCAGCATCCCGCTCCTGCGTGCTGCCGACACCAGCGGTGTGGACGAGAAAGTGCGACAGGTTGTCTCAGCCTGGAATGAGACACACTTCGAAACTAAGAATGAGGGTGCGATGTGGGCCAACCGTGCAAAGTGGTTCCGTGCTCACTACAAGTAGAGTGGGCTGGGCGGCCGCCCAGGAGCCTCCACCACGGGCAGCAGAGGCAACATCGTCAATATCAGCATCGGAGCAAGTGTCATCATCATTATCATCATCATCACTACCTTCGCCGACGATGGTTGCCACGATGGCGGCATCGATGCCATCATCGTGACAACCACCGTCATTGGTGTGGCCATCACCGCCACTGCCACCATCGGCAATAATGATCCCACCGCCGACCTTATCACCGATTGACGGTGGGTAATTCTCGCCATCCCCTTATTGGGCCTCATCCTCCCGCCTCCTCCCTCCTCCACCTCCCGTTCCTCCCCGTCCCCTCTCTTGGTGGAGTGGGCATAGGTTCCGACTTCGATCGGACTCAGAGTAGGCCTCAGAATCGGGGTCGGGGCCAACTCGGATTCTAAGATGCCCCAGTGAGGAGACAGGACAGGGGATACGGCACGTGGAGGGAGGGAAGGAGATGGAAGACGGGAGGAACAGGAGGAGAGGGGCGGGGGTGGAGGGGAGACGGGAGGTTTAGGAGGGGACGGAAGGGCAAGAGGAGAAGGAGGGATGAGGAGGAGGAGGACGACGAGGAGTAGAGGGACGGAGTAGTGGAGTAGAGGGACGGGGTGAGGAAGGGATGGAGGGACGATGACAGCAACGACGAGTGAGAGAGCGGGGAGCCCTGGGGAGAGAGTACGCGGCCCGCCCTCCCCCGCCCGTCGGCGGCCGCCCGTGGGCGGCTTCACGGCGGAGGCGGGGCGCGCCGCCGCCCACTGCCGAGGAGAGGGAGGGGGGAGGACAACGAGGACGAGGAGGGCTGAGGGGACGCTTAAACAACGACCCCCCTAAACAATAGAAGCTGCCCCCCCTCCTTGTGTCTCTACTCCTCCTCCGTGTCCTCATCTTCCGTGTCCGTATTCCCGTTCTCTTCCATCCACCGTTATTATTCTTCGTCATCTCTCATCCTTGTTCGTCCTCCATGCCCCTTCCTCGTCGCCCCCACTAGGCTCCGAACGTTCCGCATTATATATCCTCCTCACGTTCTCTCCTTTCCCCTCCCTCCGCCTCCTCCTCCTCCTGTTTTTTTTCCACCGCCCTCGATGCTACGCACGCAGGCCCAAACAAAGATAGGCGCACTCAAAGTGCAGCTGAACAACTCAGACATGTATGACTCACGATCGGCACGCACGCACAACTGAGCCAGGTAAGACACGTCATGGGTTCACCCAGATAACGCAACACTTACGACACCCATGACTAGCACAACCAGACAACACGGCCAGGTAGGGCCATGCATAGATCTAGCCACGCACCACCACGACCAATGGTACGTGTACACTCATGCAGGGAACGCGTTGTGAAATCTAGTGGGCGCCGTGCAGTCTGCACGCGTCCTGCGCCTGCATCACGCGGCATCACGTACGGGGCGCGACGGTTGCTAACGTGTGAAAGGTCTGTTGCACGCCCCTCTCATTCGCATGGGTGTTGGCGATCTATGTTGCAGGCGATGGCAGGTTTACACAGGGTGTGTTGTCGGGTTTGCCCCCCGGCGCTGGTCTGGTATGGGTTCCTGCTCTAAACCATTGAATTGCGATGGGGTTACTACAGCCCAATGTCTTACCAGGGGGAACTGTCTCTCGCACCGTCGGGAGCTGTGACAGAGTGGTGGGCCGCCCTCTCGGCGGGCGGCGTGGCACGTTGGGGCCCAGAAGCGGACGAGCAGGGCGCACACGGGAACCTCAGCGCCGTCCTAACGGCCTGGAGTGGAGCTTGCCGGCGGCCCAGCCTGAGTCAGGCTGGGCCGTCGGTGAGTTTCAGCCTGGACCAGAAACCAGGGTGAGCCATGGCGCCAACATCGCACAGCGGATTTCGTTCGGAAAACGGTGTGATGGGCCCGGATCGTCCTGGAGAATTTCGTTCCGGATTTCGAAGTGGATTTCGTGCGGATTTTGTGGCCGGGAATGAAGACTACAACGAGATCCGCGTGAAATTCACTTCGTTTTTCGCTCGCAGTTTCGGGGTTTTGCACTGACAGAAATCCACGCAATAATCCGCTGCAGCATGTCTGCAAGGTCTGCGCAGTGAGGTGTGGTCGTCAGTGGTGCTGTCTCAATCCCGGCGGTTTCGGTTTCTCTCTCTAGTGGAAAAAGCAACCGCACACACATTTCCAGAGGTACGCGCGGATTTCTTGGATCCGCGCTGGGCGTCACACTGGTCAATGGCCGACTCCACTGGTCAGTGGTCAGGGCGTCGGCCAGTGACGAGTGTGACTCCCTGGGGGGCGTCGACCGCAGACGTGCGCAGTGCACACGAGGTGGCGGACGAGGGCGGCTTCTGGGTAGGCAGGGCACGCAGGGCCCGTGGGGCTCCCAGGGGGCCCAGGCAGGGCGGGGGGTTTGCGCGGCCCCAGAGGGGCACGGGCGACGTGCGAACAATCAGCCGCGGGGGGCTGCGCTGCTCTGGCGACTCCCCAGTCCCAGGGGTTTCGTGGAACCGTCCCCGCGCCTGGTGGACTCTAGGCCTTGTGGCTGGGGTCCGAGAAGATGGGGTCGGACGATTGCGCCGCATCGCCGATGTATCGGCGGTGCGGCTCGATGTGGATTCCGATTTTCTCTACGTCGACGCGGCCGTGATGCATCGGCAATGCGGCGCGATCCTCCGACCCCATCTTCTCGGGCCCCCATCTGGGAGGCTTCTCTGGATGCAGCAGAGAAGTACATCCCGGCTGATGCCAAGAACAATCGACGCTTCTCGGGCATTGAAACTATAGAGTGCTATGTGGGGCCGCCAGTCCGTCTTTTACACGCTATCCCCCACCTTGGGGATGTACAGAATGTACCGGGGAAGCCCTGGCAGGGGGATCGCGTACACTGGCGATGCCCTCGCAGGGGGATAGCGTTCGCAGGAGGGGCCCTCCTGGGTGGATCGCCTCGCAGGGATAGCGCGCCTTCCGGAGATCGATGTTGCACGCCATCTTTGCAACGCCAGTCGTACCATTGCGCCAGTCGGCGGCGAGCCTATAGAGGGGGGAAGTGAGAAGGGGCGGGCCTTCTCAGAAGGCTTGGAAGTACTCGGCCTTCTGAGAAGTTCTCTAAGCCTTCCCCGAGGGCACCGAAAGCTTCCCAGAAGGCGCGAGAGCCTCTGAGCAGCCCCGCCGCCCTCTGAGAAGGCCTTCTCCTTCTCGCCTCCCCCCCCTCGCTCGCCGCCGAGCCAGGAGCCGTCCATACTGGATCTCTCCCCGCGCATCTCGGAGAAGACTGACGTCCTGTCCGAGGCCGGCGTCGCGCAGCCGCAGCCGCCCAGGGACCCCCCAGTGGCCGCGCCGGCGCCCCCTGCCCTGAGGCTCCGGCTGCCGCCGCGCTCGGACACGGCCGCGGCCCCAGAAGGGCGCCCGCAGATCCGATCGACGAGGGCCAGCCTTCAGCTCTGGGCGTTGCGATTTTTTCGTCGTGGGCGTTTTCCCCCGATTTCGGGGGGCCCCGGGACCCTCACGGATGGATCCGGCTCGAAGAGTGGTGCAGAAGCATGGGATTTGAAGTTCTACGGGTGTTCTTTCCCAACTATCCTGTGGTGTTGTGTCCTCGTTTTGAAGAGACAGCGCCCCGCGTCACTCCTCCTCTTCCTCCCCCTCCTCCCTCCTCCCTCCTCCTCCCCTCCTCCTCCTTATTTTTCACCCACCCAGTACACCGTTTCGTGGCCCCATAGGGAGCTCCACCGAAGGCCCTCGTGCCACCGCCCGCATGCGTCACCCACACCGATTTCGGCACACCCCTCACACGTTTCGTGGCCCCATAGGGAGCTCCACCGAAGGCCACAGTGCCACCGCCTGCACATGCGTCACCTACACCCATTTCGGCACAACCCTCACATAGGGAGCTCCACCGAAGGCGCCAGTGCCACCGCCCGCATGCGTCACCCACACCCGTGTCATCACACCCCTCACGCGTTTCGTGGCCCCGTAGGGAGCTCCATCGAAGGCCCCAGTGCCACCGCCCGTATGCGTCAGCCACTCCCATCTCGTCACACTCCTCACACGTTCCGTGGCTCCATAGGGAGCTCCACCGAAGGCCCCAGTGCCACCGCCCGCGTGCGTCACCCACTCCTATCTCGTCACACCCCTCACACGTTTCGTGGCCCCGTAGGGAGCTCCGACGAAGGCCCCGGTGCCATTGCCCGCGTGCGTCACCCACGCCTATTCCGGCACACCCCTCACGCGTTTCGTGGCCCCATAGGGAGCTCCACCGAAGGCGCCAATGCCACCGCCCGCATGCGTCACCCACACTCATGTCGTCACACCCCTCACACGTTTCTTGGCCCCAAAGGACGCTCCAACGAATGCCCTGGTGCCACCGCCCGCATGCGTCACCCACGTCCATTCCAGCACACCCCTCACGCGTTTCGTGGCTCCATGGGGAGCTCCGCCGAAGGCGCCAGTGTCTGCGTTCGCATGCGTCACCCTCGCCCATTGCGTCACACCCATCACATGTTTCGCGGCCCCACAGGGAGCTCCGACGAAGGCCCCAGTGGCTGCGTTCGCATGCGCCAGCCGCACCTACTTCCGCACACCTTTCACGCGTTTCGTGGCCCCATAAGGAATTCCACCGACGGCCCCAGTGGCTGCTTTCGCATGCGCCCACCGGACAAATTTTGGCACACCCCTCACACGTTTTGTGGCCCCACAGGGATCTCATACGAATGCGGTGCATACAACGACGGTGCTCACAATTGCATATGGTTGGGTCTTTCGCCATGCCACTTTTGCGAAGTGTTTCCCGATCATCCTGTGGTGTTGGGTCCTCGTTTTGAGGAGACAGCGCCCCGCTTTCCTCCTCGTGCACTTCCTCGCCCCTCCCCCCGGTGGCTGTGATCACATGCGTCCGCGCTACCCAGTACAGCGTGTCGTGGCCCTGTAGGGAGCTCCACCGACGGCCCCAGTGGCTGTGACAACATGCGCCCCCGCGCTGCCCCGTACGGCGTTTCGTGGCTCCATAGGGAGCTCCACCGAAGGTCCCAGTGGCACCGTTCACACCCCATCGCACGTTTCGTGGCCCCGTTAGGAGCTCCACCGAAGGTCCCAGTGGCACCGTTCGCATGCGTCCCCGCCGTCCATTTCGGCATACCCCCCACGCGTTTCGTGGCCCCATAAGGAGCGTCATCGAAGGCCCCAGTGGTACCCTTCGCACGCGCCCCCAACAACCAGGTAGGCGCACCCCTCGCGCGTTTCGTGGCTCCAGAGGGAGCTCCACCGAAGGTCTCAGTGACACCGTTCGCATGCGTCTTCTGCGCCCATGTCGGCACACTCCTCATAGGTTTCGTGGCCCCAGAAGGAGTTCCGCCGAAGGTCCCAGCGGCACTGTTCGCATGCGCCACCGCAACCAATGCCAGCACACCTTTCACACGTTTCGTGGCCCCATACAGACAGTGTACACCGCACTCACATCTATACCCCTGGGTGGGTGTATGTGCGGCCGTTTTTGCGCTGTCATGTGCGCGCATGTGCGCGGCATGTGCCAGTCATGTGCCAGGCCTGTGCGGCCCTTCTTGGATGGACTTCCTACTGTGCACGTCGTGCCCGGGCATGTGCGGGGGCATGTGCGCTGTGTTTTGGTGTATCCATCATACGCACATGCACGCACAGTCCGACGCACATGCGGGCACATGCCTGCACATGCGGGAGGTGTTCGAGAATCGCAGATCTGTCATCGGCACATGCACGCACATGCCTGTGCAACCTTTCTTCGGGAGGCCGCGCGGGCCCGCACATGCACGCACATGCGGTGAAGCGCGCGGGCGCACATGCGTGCACATCCCAATGCACATGCACGCTCATGCCCTAGGAGCTGTCTGAGACCCCTGTGCCTCCAATGCCTCCTGGCCTTCGCAGAGCTAACCTGGGGCGTGCCAGGGCTTCCTGAATGAGTTTGTTGTGCGTTTAGACCACTCTCGCCAGAGACACCTTCGCAACTCTGACCTCAGAGATCTCTTGCCCCATGGTGGTCAGGCCACTTTCGCCTGAGACATCCTCACAACTCAGACCGCGGAGGTGTCCTGCCCCATGGTGGTCTGGTCACCTTGACCAGCGACATCCTCGCCACTGTGATTTCCAAGATGCCCTGCCCCATGGTGGTCCGGCCACGTTTGCCTGAGACATCCTCGCAACTCTGGGTTGCGAAATGCCCCGAGCTCAGGTGGTCAGGCCACTATCGCCTGCGACATCTCTGCGGCATGTGCGGGCATGTGCGTCTATGCTTTCAGAGTTTTGTTTGACCGTGCGTTCGACTGTGCGTCGGACGGTGTGGCATGTGCGCGCACGTGCGGCAATGTTGATGAGGCTTCTGTATATTTGCATGGGCATGTGCATGCGACTGTGCGGCATGTGCTTGCATGTGCTGCCCCTTCCGGACCACAATTTCAAAGTGAGCACTATAGAAGTGAGCGCTATAGAAGTGAGTCCAGTGTAATCCTCCTCCTCCTCCTCCTCCTCCTCCTCCGCCTGCTCCTCCTCTCCTCCCCCCTCCTCCTCCTCCTCCTCCTCCTCCTCCTCCTCCTCCTCCTCCTCCTCCTCCTCCCCCTCCTCCTCCCCCTCCCCCTCGCCCTCCCCCTCCCCTTCCCCTCCCCCTCCTCCCCCTTCTCCTCCTCCTCCTCCTGCTTCTCCTCCTCCTCCTGCTCCTCCTCAGAGGGCTAGTGGGACTACGTGGGCTTCGACTGGGCAAGGCACGAAGACTTGTTGGGGATTGGTTCTCTGGAGCGTAGGGCGCCGTAGTAGTGGGCGGCGCCGCGCAAGCTCCCCCTCCAGCGTCGTCCACCGCTGATGCCAGATAGGGGTGCTCTTACAACGCCTCCTGCTCCATCATCTTACGCCTCCTCCGCCTCCTCCTTATCCCTCTCCTCCTCGTCCTCCTCCTCCTCCTCCTCCTCCTCCTCCTCTTCCCCCCTCCGCTAATCAGACCGCTCCCGCTGATTTCAGCCGAGGCCGACAGGAACCCGAATCACAGCGGTGCGGCTCTGAGCGCGACCGCTGGGAAGTCTCCACCACGGGGGGCTGGCCGGGGTAAAGGCGCCCGGCCGAGTAGTGACGTGGGCCAAGGGCTGATACACAGGATGGCCACCCTCTCGTAGAGGGCTGAGAGGCCCTGTGCAGCGTCTGTCAGGGGAGTCAAGGGTACCCATTCCGCGACCCTTCCCTCGTTTTCCACTTCTCGGGCCTCCAGGGCGGCCTTCGTCGCCACCGCTGGGTTCGCCTCGAAGTTCTGGTCAGAACGCATCCCGGGAAAGGTCCTGGGAGTAGCAGCATGGGTGCCTTTTGATTTCCCCAGTTTGTGCCGTGGCGTCCAGCCTGCACGTGCCTGCCAGGAGATCCGCAGGTATAATACATATCAGCGACAGGGTGTTCGCATGCAAGTCTGGGTGTCCGCTCGCCTTTCTTGCAGCAGATTCGCATCTTTGGTCGAGTCTGCTTCTTCGGATGGACGCGTCTGCGCGGGCTCTGCGACCCAATATTTTCAGAGGTTGCAGCAATCGATCCTTCCTTCCCACCCTCTCGGCAAGGTGCCAGCATGCTCAATTCAATGCCTCCTCTGTTTCACTACACTTTGTCACAGGGTGGATCTGCGGTGTCTCTGTTTGCCCCGCATGGAAAGATAAAGTGCCAGCAGCGCACTGACACTGTCGATCCGGCCCGCTGTAGTTTGCGCATGGAGCACTCCCGTATGTTACCAGCCTGGAACATCTCCCTATCCCTATGCTGGGCACCTCCTCATCACGATGCCAATCTTAGGGATTCCCTTATCTTTTGAGGGCGAATCCCTAAGATTGTCATCGCCTTTTGGCGTGTCAATCTGAGGGATAGAAGTACGTTTGAGGCTGGTAAGTATGAAGATAATGTGCTGCGAATTCGCCTTTTTCTGAACTGCTGCGACGCGGGTGACAAGCATGCTCGGTGTTTTTTGGGGTCTCGTCTCCGCTGTGTGGGCGACCGCTCTCCCAAGCCAGTGTCCTTCCTTTACGAGGCATGCCCGGGGGGACGGAGCCTTTGCGGTGGAGCTTTCGATTTCATAGGCCATAGCGCCCTCCAGGTCGATCCTCAGTGGAAGCAAGCCCAGAAGCAGACCCGAAAGGATAGGACTATTGAGTCTAGGTAGGGGACCCTTTTCCAACCAAGCCCAGGTTCTTTGGTTGACCCAAAAGGGGGTTCAGCTGAAAGGGGGTTGTGCAATAGATTTGGGCAATTGTGTTGCACATTTATTGCGCCCGCAACAAATGTGTTGCACACGAATCTATGGCAACCCACAAATCTATTGCACCAGATCTATTGCAACACCCCCTTGTAGCTGGACCCCCGTTTGGTTTAACCAGGGGTTCCCCTGGCGCGATGCTCCCGAGTCGGCAGAGATCTGGGGTCTTCGGGTGACTCTGCGGGCCCACATGGAAAACTTGGCCCCAGATCCTCGATCCCTCTTTGGCTCCTCCTGGCCCTGTTCTCTTCCCTGTGAGGAAAAGTCCAGGAGGCCTCGCGCGGCGCGCAATAGTCGTATCATCCAGTTCATATGTCCGCTCCTTCAGATTTGGGTCGACGTTCGCGCGGCGATGCTCCGACGTAATTCCAGCGTGAATTTTATGCGTATCCGTCGTGAATCCGACGTGAGCCCGACGCGAGCCCGAGGTAACTCCGAAGTGGAGCCGACGTAAACTGGGTCTCAAGCTGCCGCGCGAGGCTTCAAGGGTTTTCCTCAGTCATTCGCTTGCTCAGGATGTCTGTTTTTCAGGTTATCGCAAGCACGGGCGCCCTGCGCACACCTGCGATGCAGGTTGTCCGCGCCGGCGCCGCGCCGCGACAAGCCGTGCCCATGCACGGCACGAGGGCGCCGCCTGCGGTTTGGGCGCTGGCGACGTCGAGGGCCTCGGCCGAAAAGTTTCGGCCAGAGGGTAGCGGGCGGGGTTCTTCTTTGGAGCTTGCTAGGGGTCTGAGGTGGCCCAGCATTGGTTCCGGCCAGCAGGAAGGGCGGGCAGGTTCGAGGTTTTGGGTTCGGTCTTCTCGGGGCCGTTTTTGGTCCTCGGGACCGTGAAAAACGGATCCCGGGTGAAACGCTGCACCAGATGGACCCCAGGAGGGGTCTGGGCACGGATTGTGAGCGGATTTGGCCATCCCCTCCTGACCGATTCTCTGGGGATCGGACCCTCCTGCCGCCTCCGGGTCCCTCCCTCGGCGGTTCAAAGCTTCGTGGGCCCCCAAACGGTGTGGCGACCACACCGTGTGGTGAGTCAGCGGGAAGTCGGGGTGACCGCACGGTTTTGGAGCTCGGGTCGTTCTCCGAGACTGTCTCGGGCGACTGGTGCCTCCAGGGTCTCAGTTCGGTGCGATGACGGACCGAGCGGTGAGGTCGTTGGGAGTCGCGAGGTTACCGCAGGGTTTGTCAGCGCACCGCTGTGGGATCCCCAAGAGATTGTCGTCAGGGTCTGGTGATACCCCGAGGCATCGGGCCCGGCCGCCCCCCGCCCCTTGGGATAACCTAATCTTGTCGGCTGCGCAGGCACGAAGGGAGTTTACGTTACTGGTGCGCGCGGGCATACACGGGCGGGGCTGCTCAAAGCGAAAAAGCGGTTAGAATGTGGGCCGGCACCTCCCCCCCGCCACCCCTCCGGATAACGCGGGTCAAGTCAAGTCAAGTCAAGTCCGGTCGAGGGGCTTGGAGGCCGCTCGCTCCACAAGCGGAGACGGAGGGCGTGAAACAACACGGCAAGAAAATGCGCATGCAAGAGAACTGGTGAATATAATATCGCTACAAAGCTCTATCTTACATCATGCGTTCCATCACATAATTCAAACATGCAGTCGCCAACCGCTGCCAGGGGAAAGGCTCTTGGCGACCTACAACATTTGATAAACTCGTACCTTGCTAATGTCCTAAGAAAGAACCGACGGCATCTGTCCATCTACGTCGTGGCCAGCCTCGGCGTCGAACTCCGGGCGGGCGCCATCGTAACATTTGCGCTGGCCACGTTTGCGGGTCACCAGTGGCAAGACGCGCCACACGGCGCCACAGGGAGCGATCCATCACAACCAGCCAGTCTGACACAGGAAAAATGCCTAAAGCGACGCGCACTTTTTGCTTGCAACGTCGCCCCGCTTCCTCCCAACTTTCGCTGGGATGCTTGTTGAAACCGACCATCTTGTGCAGCATTTGTGCTCGCGTCGACGCAATCCGCGACCGATGGACTGCTGTCGTGGCTGTCGTCGAGAGACCCTAGACCGCGGTAGGCGTAACAACCGCGTCGAAAAGTTTCAAGCGAAGGCGCAACGATATAATTTTATTCAACAGAACTGTTTTGTGCAAGTGAAACTTGCCCCATGCACTCCATGCGATAATTTACATTGTAACCTGATCTGCTGCGCAAGTCCCCTCCGAATTTCTTACCGAGATACTTGTGAAACACCTGAGACGTCATGACAGGCAACTGGCATCCAGTAAGCTGCAGCATGAGAGGCTCTTCAACGTTGGACACAGAGACGTCGTTAGTGAATATGCGTGTTGTGTCTGCATTCAATGAAAGGCCGCACGCCGACAGTTCTTCCGAAATAATGTCCAACATGCGAGTCGCCTCTTCGGCAGAACGTGCATAAAGTGAAATATCAACCGCATACCGGACGTTGCTGAGTAACTTGACGTCTCCAACGTGCTCGGATTTTGAACCTCCGGATTGCGTGCTCCAGTCCAGCGTTGAAAAGCAGCGATGACAAAACATCGTCTTGGTTGACTCCGCGCGTTATGTCAAACGCTGCGCTGCCGTTAACGCTGCCCAGATAACGTGGGCCAGCGCCAGAAAATTCGAAACAAGCTCCAGAAGATGGGGCTCGTCTGAGGCATGGGGCCCTGAGAACGAGTGGCTTCAGAGAGGTTTTGCCGACCGGCGCGGGCCCTCGCACCCCACCTCCCCCCCCCCCTGGAGTAGATCTTGGCTGTTTTTGGCGCCTGTTTCAAGCAGGTGCAGTCTCCCCCGTATTGCACGCACTGTTGCGAACAGTCGCACTAAGCCAAGGTCTGGAGCCAGACCCCCTTCCTTCCCCCCCCTTCTGCCCAATGCCGAAACGCAGAACAAGAAAACGCTGACAGGGTTGAACTCATGATCCCTTTCCCGTCCTCGGGGCCCCGTCCTTGTCTTTGAAAACCGCCGCCGACCCTCGATGCTGGGCCCCGGGCGAGCCTGGTCCGCATCGGTGAGGTGTCGGAGGCCTAGAGGCTGACACCAGCCAGCACCAATATCGGCGCGGTGCCTCCACCGAGGGAAGAGGATCCCGATCTCGGTGATGGTGGTAATTCTCGGCCGAAAGATCACCACCAATACCAAAAGATCTAGGATCATCCTCCCCAGGTGGAGAGGCAACCCCCTGTGTGGGTGTTTTGGTGCCCATTTCCGAGCCTCCAGAGGTGGTCAGTTGACGCCCCCCCGACCTCTTCTCCGCCGCCGCAGGTTGTTCGCGACGCGCGCCCCTTGGTTCGGGAGTGGACAGAACCCCCACCCTGACACGTCGATTGGTGAATTGTCCGTTTTCGGTTCTCGAGAGGGCGCCGCGGCCGTCATTTTCCAGGCTTGCGGCCGCCAGGTTTGGACCCGAGGTCGTTTTCACCAAACCACGTTTTACGAAAGGGGGTTCTGTCCATCCCCTAAGAGGTGGTCAGCTGACGCCCCCCCCCCCCCGGGCCTCTCCTTCGCCGCCGCAGGCTGTCCGCGACGCGTGCCCGTTGGTGATCTCGACCCCTTCCCCCTGGCCGGCTTTTCGCCCCGAGCCGCTCTCTGGCGGCCTCTTCGGGGGGTGCTGTCTGTGTGGGGGAGGGCGGCCTCGTCGGGGCCGCGTGCGCTCCGAAACAGGCCGTCGCGACTGCGAGGGCCTTCCGGCCGGTGCCGCCGACCCTGAAGGGAAACGACGACGACGACGACGACGACGACGACGACGACGACGACGACGACGACGACGACGACGACGACGACGACGGCGGCGGCGGCGGCGGCGGCGGCGGCGGCGGCGGCAACGGCCTCAGGGGGGGTGTGGGGGAACGGCCTCGTCGGGGCCGAGTGCGCTCCAAAATAGGCCGTGACGATTTTTTGGCGTCGCCTGGATCTGATGGGAAATCGACGTGGGTTCAAGAAAGGTGCACATGTGCGGCACTGTGGAGCGGGGGTGGCAGTTGAAACGACGCTTTGGGGCCCCTTTAGGCCCACTTTGCATCCCAGTTGCACCCACGTGAATGCCCCCTGTTAACATCTGGAGGAGGGGACAGGAGGAGGAGAAGGAGGATGAGAAGAGGAGGGAGGCGAGGGGAGGAGGGAAGAGGACAGACAAAAACGCACAAGAGGACGATGATCGGGCAGGGGTGAAGATGGCAATGAGGGAGGCTGAGAAGGCTGAGTAGGAGGAGGAGGATAAGGATATCTTGGGGGAGGAGGATTGGAAGGACGCCAGGGGATGAGGATGGGGGAGGATCAGGAAAGAGGTTCAGGTGCCCAGAGGAGGATGGGACGGATGAGGATGAGGGCGACAATGAGGAGGTGGAGGATGAGGAAGGGGAAGAGGAGGAGCAGGATGAGGAGGATCGAGTGGCCCTGTTCGTGGCAGGACCGACAGAATTCAATGGCATTGTGGAGCTTTGCTACAGACACGTTCTGCATCGGATGACACTGTTGTCGTTTGGCCATCGCTGCCAATTGATCCGGCCCAGACGCTGCTCTTGAGGTGCAAATCCTGGGAGGTAAATTCAGCATCGGCGCT